GCCTTGAAATTTTATCTCTGGAATGAAGTTAATTTTATACACTTTCAGTCTTTCACTTTCTTTCCATCTTTATATTACTGTTGGTCAATGCAAAAGATATAATATCTATATATAAAAAGAAACCTATAGATAGTTACATGCAACAATGGAAAAAAGAACCATTGTAGCCCTGGTTTCAAACATCTAATTTTATGAATATCTGTTCCTTGCTATAGGCAAATCTTTGTTGGCTCTTTTTATCCTTCACAAATATGTTCAGCGACTTCAACCTGAATTATGGAGAATGCCTATGAATTCCTTACGTTCGTGGGTACTTTAGTTGTTTCTTCTAGAGATTTTACTTTAAATTAAATACATAATATACCTATGTGTAAAATATTTAAAGGATTGAAAAATTATTTTTTAAAAGTTTTGCAACGTGAAATAGGTGTTTATTGTTACACTAAAATGTCTATATAATTTTTTTATTTTTCATTGATTAATTAAATTAATAGTAATAATGGTATTTAAATAAAAAATCTTAAATAAAAAATAATAATAGACAAACCCTAAGAAATGATGGGTCAACTTTCCTTATGTATTACTGTACACAATTTCTGACTTGTATATCCACCCTTCAACAACTCACTCTTGTCAAGGTGCAATTCCAGAGCCTTCGATTTGTAAGCCTTTGTGATTTCTCTCTTTTAGAGATTAGCACTTGTATCCTTGGATGTGAATGCAGCGGATACTATTAGGGTATCAATTTTGGAAATGCATATCTTAAAAATTAATTCAATTTCTCTTTCAACAAGTATAAAACTTTAAAAACGCAATTACTTTTCAATGGTCTAATTTTTTGAATCTTGACTTGAATGATTAAAAAATTAACACCAGAAATGTCACCAAAAGTGATAAATATATTCGAACTCTGTTTCTGCTCTTCGCTCATGAACATGGCCGAATTTTTCGTCTTCGATATTGCAGAATCACTGCTACGTAAGCTTGCTTCTCACGTTTATGAAGAAGCTTCTCGAGCCTATCATGTCTATGAGGATCTTCAAGGGATCAAAGACACCTTGTCAATTGTGAAAGGTGTACTATTGGATGCTGAGGAGAAGAAGGAACGGAAGCATGGCTTGCGTGAATGGCTGAGGCAGATTCAAAGCGTCTGCTACTATGCTGAAGATGTCTTTGATGAATTTGAGTGCCAAACATTGCGAAAGCAAGTTGTCAAAGCTTCTGGCAGCATCAAGATCAAGGTAGGCCACTTCCTTTCTTTGTCCAATCCTCTTATTTGCCGTCTTAGGATGGCTCGTCAAATCAAAGATGTTAAGGATAGATTGAATAAGGTAGCAGCTGATGGGAACAAGTTTGGCCTTGAGAGGATTGATGTTGACCAAAGAGTTCTGCAAAGGAGAGAAATGACTTATTCCCATGTTGATGCTTCTGGTGTGTTAGGAAGGGAGAATGATAGGGAAGAAATTATCAAGCTTTTGTTGCAACCTCTCCCTGATGGTGGCTGTGATCAAAGCCTGTGTGTTATTCCCATAGTCGGTATTGGTGGCTTGGGGAAGACCACACTTGCGAAGTTGGTGTTCAATGATAGGAGGATGGATGAAGTTTTTCAATTAAAGATGTGGGTCTGTGTCTCGGATGATTTTGATATTAGGCAGATCATTATTAAAATCATCAACTCTGCTTCTGCTTCAGCTCCAACTATTGCTCTTGGTCTCCAAGAAAATGTCAACCACTTAGACATTGAGCAGCTACAGAGAATTCTCAGATATAAACTTGTTGGTCATAAGTTTTTACTCGTCTTAGATGATATATGGAATGATAATCGTGCAAAATGGATAGAGTTGAAAGACTTGATAAACAGTGGAGCTGTGGGAAGCAAGGTCTTGGTGACAACACGTAGTAACTCAATTGCTTCAATGATGGGCACTGTTCCCTCCTACAATTTAGCAGGCCTTTCTCTGGAGAATTGTTTATCTCTGTTTGTCAAATGGGCATTCAAGGAAGGAGAAGATAAAAAATATCCAAATCTAGTGGAGATTGGAAAGGATATTGTGAAAAAATGTCGAGGGGTTCCATTGGCAGTGAAAACATTAGGAAGTTCCCTGTTCTCAAATTTTTCGTTGGATAGTTGGGAATTTGTAAGAAACCATGAAATTTGGAAATTAAAACAAAAGAAAGGTGACATTTTACCGGCCCTTAAGCTGAGCTATGATCAAATGCCATCCAATTTGAGGCACTGTTTTGCTTTGTTTTCACTTTTCCCTAAAGATTTTGGCTTAACTCATTTTCATGCTAGTAATCTTTGGCTGGCACTTGGATTGCTTCAATCTCCAGATGGAAGTCAAAAGCCTGAGAACATTGCAAGGCAATATATTGTTGAGTTACATTCAAGATCATTTCTTGAGGACTTTGAGGACCTTGGCCACATTTACTATTTCAAAGTACATGATTTGGTACATGATCTTGCACTGTATGTTGCAAAAGAGGAGTTTCTTGTGGTAAATTCCTGTTCAAGCAATATACTTGATCAAGTAATGCATTTATCAATTGTTGAAAATGATTCACTTAGCCCTACTTTGTCCCCCAAGTCTCGCGTGAGAACTATTTTATTTCCCATCGATGGAATAGGTGTTGACAGTGAAGCTCTTTTGGAGACATGGATATCAAGATACAAATACTTACGGGTTTTAGATTTAAGTGATTCCTCTTTTGAGAATCTACCTAATTCAATTGCTAAATTGGAGCATCTGCGATCCCTCGATCTTGCAAATAATTGCAAAATAAAAAGACTTCCTCGTTCTATTTGCAAACTACAAAATTTGCAATTTTTATCACTCAGAGGATGCATGCAGCTTGAAACATTGCCTAGAGGATTAGGGAATCTAATCAGCCTTCAACATTTGTATATAACCACAAAACAATCTGTTCTGTCAGAGAATGTATTTGCAAGCTTGAGTAATCTTGAATACTTGGGTTTTGAATACTGTGACAATTTGAAGCTTTTGTTCAGAGGGGTAGCAGAACTCTCTTCCCTTCAAGCCTTGATTGTTCAATCATGTGGGAGCCTAGAGTCCTTACCTCTTTACATTCTTCCTAAATTAGAGGTTCTGTTAGTAATACGATGTGAGATGCTAAAGCTGCCGTTGAACTACGAAACCCCAATCCAAAAGTTAAGGATGAAATTTCTGCATCTTGAGCATTTTCCAAGGCAGATGGCATTGCCTGAATGGATTCAAGGAGCTTCTGACACCCTAAAGACATTGCTAATTTTAGATTTTCCTAGTCTTGAGGTGCTTCCTGAGTGGCTAACAAGAATGACTAATCTTAAGATACTCCATATTGTGAACTGTCCTCAACTGACGTGTCTCCCAAGTGACATGCAACACCTCACTGCCCTTGAAGATTTGACCATAGATGGTTGTCCTGAGTTGTGTCGAAAATGTCAGCCACAGTCTGGTGAGTACTGGCCGTTGATTGCTCACATCAAACACGTTTCCATTGCAGATCCAAGACAAGAGGGGAAATTTCTTTTTCGAATGCAATCGCGGTTGCGGCTGAGATTGCACGGTTGGTAAAATTGGAATATTTTCTAGAGCTAAAATTTACTTACTAGTACAAAATTGACCTAGTAGAAATTCCAGAAGCTGGCACAAAATTTTGTTTTTTGTCTCTTCTTTCTTCCTTTTCAAATTATGGTTTATGTATGTTACATTGAGTTTATTTCACGGCAGTGCTGTGTGGATTAGTGTATAAGTTATGCATTATTCTGGTTTTATTAGACATGGTACCTTGTTATGACAAGCGAGCATCTTCAGTGCCTGTTTGTTCATATGTCAAAATCGAGTTTCATGTAATTCAAATTCCCAATATCGTTGAAGTCCTGATTGAGTGGCAGTGACTTATTTTCAAAATGAGGAAACTCTGATTTGAGCCCTTAGTACCTCTTGAAAGTACTAACTCAATTTTTATTTCTCTGACCGTTTCTCTCTTATCTATCTCTTATCAATTTTTATTATCTATCTACAATTTTATTCTTTAAATAAATTCTTTATTTCTTTTAGTAGAAATATTTAGTGCCAAGCAAATTTTATAAAAAAATGTTAACTTTTTAGCTTATTTTTTAATTCTCTAATTTTCAAACATCAATTAAATGTATCATTTTCGGTTAATTACACATAATTTCATTAATCAAATAGGAAGAAAAGGAAAAAAGAACACAATGATAATGATAATAATTAAGAAAAAAATGGGACACAGATAGTAATTGACAATGTTAAATATAGTTAATAAAAAATGACATATTTGATTAATGCTTCAAAGAACTAAAATAAAATAAAATTAAAAGAAACACTAAAACAAAAAGTGAAATTATAGGGTTAAAATGGAATAGAAAATAGAGAAATAAACCGAAAAAAGAATAAAATTAGAAGATTAGAGCATTAAGTTTGCATTGTAAATTTTATTTACATTTTAATATTATAGTCATTCATGGTTATTTGTTTCTCTTACAAGGTTGATATTAAGAGAAAAAAAGAGGAGCAGTGCCCGTGTTTGGAGAAGAAAAAGTTGTTGTATTCATCAAGACGTGATTTACAAAACCATTCTGGTGACAATCTTGCAATTTGAAAATAGAATTGCACCAGGACGGTAAAAAAAGTCCAACAAAGAACAAGGATTGGAAAAACAAAATTTAAACTTTATCTTGTATTCTTTACTAATTTGATATGGTTACATTGAGAGATATAATTTTTTATAAAATAACATTCATTAATTAAATATAGTTGAAATTGTCTCTGTCCGGTTGTCGGTGACCATACTATGTTATTACAATATACAACAGCATGAAGTAAAGCAATATTAAATTATTTGGTTAAGGAAATGGTGCGTCACAGCTGGATTGAGAATTTGAGATTGACGGTGGACTTTGTTATATGAACAAATAAGGACATGTAGATGTAGCCATAATCGCCATCACAATCATAGACACACCCAACCACAAAATGGGCAAATCATTTGTCTTCGATATCGCTGAATCACTGCTAACGAAGCTTGCTTCTCAGGCTTATGAAGAAGCTTCTCTAGCCTATGGTGTCTATGAAGATTTGCATGCGATCAAAGACACTTTGTCAATAGTCAAAGGTGTGCTATTGGATGCTGAGGATAAGAAGGAGCATAATCATGCCTTGCGTGAATGGCTGAGGCAGATTCAAAACGTATGCTCTGATGCTGAAGATGTTTTGGATGGATTTAAGTGTCAAACATTGCGAAAGCAAGTTGTCAATGCTTCTGGCAGCATAAGGATGAAGGTAGGACACTTCTTTTCTCCATCTAATCCTCTCGTTTTCCGTCTTAGGATGGCTCATCAAATCAAAGATGTTAGGGACAGATTGGATAAGGTTGTTGCTGACGGGAACAAGTTTGCTCTTGAGAGGGTTGATGTTGACCAAAGACTTGTAGTGCAAAGGAGGGAAATGACTTATTCCCATGTTGATGCTTCAGATGTGATAGGAAGGGAGAATGATAGGGAGGAAATTTTCAAGCTTTTGATGCAACCTCTCCCTGATGGTGGTGGTGATAAAAGCCTGTGTGTTATTCCCATAGTGGGTATTGGAGGCTTGGGGAAGACCACACTTGCAAAGTTGGTGTTCAATGATAAGAGGGTAGATGAAGTTTTCCAATTGAAGATGTGGGTCTGTGTCTCTGATGATTTTGATATTAGGCAGATAATTATTAAGATCATCAACTCTGCTTCTTCCTCTACTTCAGCTTCAGCTCCAAATATTGCTAATGCTCATCATGAAGACATTAACAACTTAGATATGGAGCAGCTACAGAGTCGTCTGAGATGTAAGCTTTCTGGTCAGAGGTTTTTGCTTGTGTTAGATGATATATGGAATGATGATTATGCAAAATGGGTAGAGTTGAAAAGTTTAATAAATGTTGGCGCAGTAGGAAGCAAAATATTAGTGACAACACGGAGTAACTCAATTGCTTCAATGATGGGCACTGTTTCCTCGTATGTTTTAGAAGGCCTTTCTCTGGAGCATTGTTTGTGTCTGTTTGTCAAATGGGCATTCAAGGAAGGTGAAGAAAAGAAACATCCAAATTTAGTGGAGATCGGAAAAGAAATTGTGAAAAAATGCCGAGGAGTTCCACTAGCAGTGAGAACCTTAGGAAGTTCACTGTTTTTAACTTTTGATTTAGAAAAGTGGGAATTTGTGAGGGACCATGAGATATGAAATTTAAAACAAAAGAGAGATGACATTTTACCTGCCCTTAAGTTAAGCTATGACCAAATGCCATCCCATATGAGGCACTGTTTTGCATACTTCTCCCTTTATCCTAAAGATTCTGGCTTCACTAGCTCTCAAATTACTAATCTTTGGGTGGCACTTGGTTTACTCCAATCCTCAGATGGTAGTCAAAAGCAAGAAAATATTGCAAGGCAATATATAGATGAGTTACGTTCAAGATCATTTCTTCAGGATTTTGAGGACTTTGGCCACTTTTACTATTTCAAAGTACATGATTTGGTACATGATCTTGCACTGTATGTTGCAAAAGAGGAGTTTGTAGTGGTGAACTCTCATACTCGGAATATACCTGAACATGTAAGGCATTTATCAATTGTTGAAAATAATTCACTTGGCCGAACTTTGTTCCCCAAATCCAGAAGTGTGAGAAGTATACTCTTTCCTATAGACGGAGTGGGTCTTGACAGTGAAACTCTGTTGGATACATGGGTAGCAAGGTACAAATACTTACGGGTTTTAGATTTAAGTGATTCTTCATTTCAGACCCTACCTAATTCAACTGATAAATTGGAGCATCTTCGAATTCTGAATCTTTCTAATAACCGCAAAATCAAAAGGCTTCCTCATTCTATATGCAAACTCCAAAATTTGCTAGTTTTGTCACTTAGAGGATGCATGGAGCTTGAAACATTGCCTAAAGGATTAGGGAAGCTGATCAGCCTTCGACAACTGTATATAACCACAAAACAATCTGTTCTGTCACATAATGAAATTAGCAGCTTGAGTAATCTTCAAACTTTGAGTTTTGAATATTGCTACAATCTGGAGTTTTTGTTTGGAGTGGAACAACTCTCTTCCCTTGAAGCCTTGATTGTTCAATCATGTAGGAGCCTGAAGTCCTTACCTCTCTCTATTCTCCCTAAATTAGAGGCTCTATTAATCTTGGACTGTAAGATGCTAAATCTGTCACTGATGCATGAAAACCCAATCGAAGAATGGCCTAAAGTTGGAAGTCCAGTCCAAAGATTGAGTTTGAAATTTTTGCATCTTGAGTATTTTCAACAGCCACATAAATTGCCAAGATGGATTGAAGGAGCTGCATATACTTTACAGACTTTGTTAATTTTGAATTTTTCTAATCTTGAGATGCTTCCTGAATGGCTAACAACAATGACTCATCTTAAAATGCTCCATATTGTTAACTGTCCTCAACTGTTTTATCTCCCAAGTGACATGCATCGCCTCACTTCCCTTGAAGATCTGACTATAGATGGTTGCTCTGTGTTGTGTAGAAGATGTAAGCCACAATCTGGTCAATACTGGCCCATGATTGCTCACATCAAACGCCTTTCCATTGGAGAACCAGGACCAGAGTGGTATTCCATGTTCTCCAATGAAGATGAAGAAAAAAGGTAAGAATATTGTTTAATTGTCAAAACTTTGACATACTTTTCAATTTTATCCACATTTAGTAACATTTAGTATAGTGCAATATAAATTATGCTTTCACAATCATCCAGATTAATGTAAATTGTAAAGTCATTCTGAGAAGTTACTTGCATTTCAAAGATTGGCCCGTTGAATGTTTAAACTTCTAGTTTGTGAAGACAAAATAAGTCATCCACACCTTTGAACAAATCTATCTCCTGACCCTTCCTTTTTACGTTGGAGGTTAATCTTGGAAATCTCACGCTCATCCTTTGTTTTGCTTATTAGTTTTTGTGTTGTGCTAGACCCTATACCGTGTCATTTCAATTGCTCAATTAATTCTATTTATTATTCTGTTTTATGCATGCTTGTTTATACTAATTATTTTTTTAATTTTGATACCATTTTTTGTTGGATGGAATACTGGGAAGTTTTCTGGATCGAATGGATGGAATCGGAGGAGTCTAAAAATTGAAATATATCTATGTCCTTTGTTCAAGAGAAGGCTGTATTGAAAGGAATTGTGAAGACTCCCAGTAGTGGTTAACAAGAAGTTATTAGAATAGGTAATGTTTTAAATATATTTCCTTATGTCAATATTTTATGACATGTTAGTAGTTACTAATGTAGTGCAATCATTACTTCAATCCTAGGATGGTTCAAAGTACACGATCTAGTGCATGATCTTGCATTGTATGTTGCCAAGGAGTAGTTTCTAGTGGTAAACTCCTACTTTAATGATTCACTTAGCCATGCTTTGTCCCCAAGTCAGAAGAAATACTTCAATCCTAGGATGTTTACTTACCAATTACTTATTTCTGCAGATTAGTTCAGTTTCAAGAAGTGAATTGCTACTGTATACATACACGACACCTTCTCTTTTTACTTAATTCTTCAAGTTTCATTTTCAGCATTTGATTGAGATCTCGAACCATCTCAAGACGTAAGCAAGTCTATGGTCTTATTTTTGTTAAGAGTTCTAAAACAAGTTTATACATATATATTCATTTTAAGAAATCATATTATACAAAATAATATCCATTTAGTAATAATTACAATTAAATCATTTTATATAGGTTTAGTTTAAACAAATTTCTCAATAAGTACTTCTACGAGTAAAATTACTTAAAATAAATTAAACTTCTCTCGTAAATTAAAAATAACTTGTATTTTTTTTATTTTTAGAAGTTCTCTCATTTAATTTTTATAAAATTTAAGAAGTATAAGTTATTTTTAATTTACGAGCAAAGTTTTATTTATCTTTTATATTAATTTTTTCTCACGAGTACTTCTAATAAACTTACTCAAACTAGACTATATTACAATTTTTTAAAATTATGCTCAAGGACACAGGTTAAGAAGTTTAAAATAATTTTTTATTAAAAATTAAAAGTTATTGTCTCAAAGTTAAAAAAATTTAATATATAGTTTAAATGATAATTTAAAGCATTTAATAAAATACATTTAATAATTTTAACATGTATTTGTGAATATATATATATATATATATATACATATATATAGATTAAGAAAATTATATACAGTAATATATCATTATTTTTAAAATCATATATATTAATCTTTAATATTAATATGCTGATTTTTATATTCATCTTTATTATATAAATTGTCAAAATAAAACTCTAACCGTAATTATAAAATAGTGCCACTGAACCCGTTTTTTCCAGTTTTGTAATATACGATTCCTAAACTTACGTGATCTAACCTCCCAAGAGCAATCCCCGCCCATTCACATGCATAGTTAGCTTTTGGCTAAAATTGGTACTCTCTTCGGTATTATTTAGAGTAAACTATACTCTCCTCCATTTAAATATACATATATTATCTTGTCTTTTTTATTTTAAAATATTATAATTTTATTTTTTAAAAATCAAAATATTTTATAATTTAATTTATTTTAAGTTTTTATTTAAAATACTATTAAATATTCAATTTGACTATTTTTATCAAATATCTTTTTTAATAAATTATATATATATATATATATAATTTTCAAGAAGTTAAACAAATTCAACGTACTTTTGCTTCAATGATGGGCACTGTTCCCTCATATGTTTAAGAAGGCCTTCTCTAGAGGATTGTTTGTCTCTTTTTCTCAAATGGGCATTTAAGGAAGGTGAAGAAGAAAATATCCACATTTAGTGGAGATAGGAAAAGAAATTGTGAAAAAATCTCGAGGGATTCCACTAGCAGTGAGAACCCTAGGAAGTTGCCTTCTCTCAAAATATGATTTACGTAAGTGGGAATTTGTGAGACCATGAAATATGGAATTTAAAGCAAAAAAGAGATGACATTGTACCTGCTATTAAGCTATGACCAAATGCCATCTCATTTAAGGCATTGTTTCGCTTACTTTTCCCTTTACCCCAAAGATTTTGGTTTCATTAGTGCTCAAACTACTAATCTTTGGCTGGCACTTGGGTTACTTCAATCCCAGGATCAAAATGAAAAGCTAGAGGATATTGCAAGGGAATATATAAATGAACTATATTCAAGATATTTTCTTCAGGATTTTGAGGACTTTGGCCACTTTTACTACTTCAAAGGACCTTGCACTGTATGTTGCCAAAGAGGAGTTTCTAGTGGTAAATTCCAATGCTCGGAATATACCTGAGCATACCTGAGCATGTGAGACATTTATCAATTGTTGAAAACGATTCACTTGGTCATGCTTTGTTCCCCAACTCCAAAAGTGTGAGAAGTATACTATTTCCTACCAAAGGTGTGGGTCCTGACAGTGAAACTCTTTTGGAAACATGGATATAAAGGTACAAATACTGGCGGATTTAGAGCTTCTGTTAGTCATTGACTGTAACATGCTTGATATGTCACTGATGCTTGAAAGTCCAATAACAAACTTCCAAGATTTGAGAATGAAATTTTTGCAGCTTGAGTATTTTCGTGAGCCACTGAAATTGCCAGAATGGATTGCAGGAGCTGCATACACTTTACAGAGTTTGTTCATTTTGAATTTCGTAATCTTGAGATGCTTCCTGAATGGATTACAACAATGACTCATCTTAAGATGCTTCATATTGTTAATTGTCCTCAAATGTGGTATCTCCCCGTTGACATGCATCATCTCACTGCCCTTGAAGATTTGACCATGTCCCCGAATTGTGTAGAAGATGTCAACCACAATCTGGTGAATACTGGTCCATGATTGCTCACATCAAACGTGTTTACATTGGAGAACCAAGACACGATGGATTTTCTCTGCTTTCTAATGAAATTAAAGGAGAATGATAACAATTTTATTTTGTCACTAAACTTCGACACGCTTTTTGATTTTATCCTTGTTTACTGTTTGGTATAGAGCAAGAGAAAAGTATGCTTAGCACAACAATCCAAATTAATGTAAAGCCATTCTTAGCAGATGTTTGCATATCAATGATTGGTCACTTGAATATTTAACTTCTAATATGAGAAGAACATGAAAATTTTATTTTTATGACAAGCCATCCACCTCTTTGAGCTAAATCTATGTACTTTGAACTAAAACTATTATTTTGTTTTGTTTTGTTTTTTTCTCCTTGACGTTTATGGTTTTAAATAAATATTTTTTTAAATTTCATAAAAAAGTTATTACTTAAATTTTTATTATTCTTTTCATCTATTTTATTAATATTCTCACTTATTTATTATTTTCTACCAAACAAACATTAATTATTAAGTTTAAAATTATAAACAAAACATTAATTGTTCATTGATTTAAATTGATTTAATTATCTTGAAAATCTCCCCCACATCCTTTGTTTTGCTTAGTTGATTTTTCCATTATGCGAGACCCATCTGCCCATAACATGTCATTCTAGTTTGTATTTGAAAACACGTTAAAAACTCTGGAAACTAGATTTAATATAGAAGTTATAACTAATAGCGTTTAAGTAACGTGAATATATGGCCATTTAAACATAAATCCAATCACATATTTAATTGCTCAATTAATTATATTTGTTATTTATTTATTTATTTTGCATATATGTTGGTACTAATTTTATTTATTTATTCTGATACCATGTCTAACTGGATGGAATACTGGAAAGCTTTCTGGATCGAACAGATGGTCACATAAGAGACTAGAAATTGGAATATAACTACATTAAGGGAATTGTTATTTGTACCACTTCGCTTATTGTGATTTTTGTAATTTAATTTCTGGAAGTGTTTTTAATACCTTTTAGAAACTAAATTTTGAAGTTATTTTGTTAATGACTTCTGGAATTTAATTTTTGAAAAGTTTTAAACACACTTTCAAAAACTAAATTCCAAAAGTGACAATAAAAAAAAAAGTTCAAATAACAAAAAGGGTAGTGCAAAAAATAATCTTCCCAATCCATTGTTCAAGAGAAGGCTGTACTAGAAGGAATTGTGAAGACCCAAGCCCAGAAGTAACAAGCAGTTATTAAGATAGGTAATGTTTCAAGGAAAATGCTTGTCAGTACGAATTGTGTAACATAAAATGTAATACGAAAACTGTGCATGCAGTAACTGGCCTTGATTTCTGTCAAAAACCCTATTTTCTTTTTCTTTTTCTTTTTACTTCAATATTCATCCAATAATTTGTCTGTCTACACGTGTATTCGTACTGCATTCGTGAAAAGCATCTTCGTACTATAAAGCATTGGTATTTCAAATAAATTGCCGGATGTCAATATTTTTACGATATTTTAGCAGTTACAAATGTAGTGCTATGTTAAATTTGTAATTGGGAATGAAGTTAGTTTTAAAGCCTATAAATAAACGATTTGCCGAGTCAAAGTGTGAAGGAACTCAGGCAGATAAAGCAGCTTTCAGTGTTTATCATTTGATGAATTTTAAGTAGCCATAACTGTTATTATAGACTTTCAATGATCGAGAAGCACGTTATTTTCACCAATGGAATTGAGGCTAGTGGCGAATATCCTCTACTTTAACCAAATTTGTCGTGAGAGTCCAAGGAAATGTTTCTGTCTTGTCGACAAAAAATTTTCAACGCACGTATAGTTTCTACACATCAAACATAAACAAAATTACAAAAATGCTTCGTTATGAATTACACTATTTGATTTCAAGGGGGAACATACTCATTGTTTATAAAAGAGTTATTTGTGAAAATAACAAAAAAATGTCATGAAACCCTTCTAGTGAAAGATTTTTAACAAATAAATGTACTGTTAATCATATGTATTATACTATTAATAATATTAAATTATTTATTTAATACCAAAAAAATTACTTGATATCAATTTATATTTAAAAAATATAAAACATATAATAATAAGAAAAAAACTAAAAGACTAAGAATATAAAAAAGTTAACAAATATAAAGATGAAACAAATGAAAAATTAATAAAGTAAATTATAGATATATACATACATACTCTCACTTAAGTTCTTGAAATACTTCACTAAAGTTAATTTTTAAAATTTTCCTCTCTCAAATTAACAATTGCCTATCACAACAATTTTCATTTTTAAAAGACACTAAAATTATATAACAAAATGATGTCCCTTAAGAATCTTTGAGAAATAGATTTTTTATATTTTTGACTTATGAAATTTTTTAGCAAAAAAGTCCTTATTACCTCTTGTCTTCTTGTTTTTTTCTCCTCCTTCAATCACTCGTCCTTTCTTTTATGATGTTTGTTTTGCCTTCTTCCACCACCACAATCTTACGCTTCTTCTCTCATCTTTTCTCTCTCAAATACAACTCAACAAGCTCAAATTTTCACCAACTCAAACCTCATCCCTCAGCCTCCTTTCTCTCTATCTATCTACCGCCAAACCTACCAAAAATTACATTCAAATTTAATATTTTCGCCAACCTACTCCATCCCACACTCCCTCAAATCCCACTCCCCACTCGACCTCTCCAATGCTACCATTCCTATCGCGTCTCTTTCCTCATTCAATCTATTTCAAACTTTCATCAGAACTTCTAAAACGCAAAACTTGAATCTAGTGATTCAAATGAAAAAACACGAGACAAAAAATCTTAGCAATATGAATGTCATTATAACAATAGTCAGAGAAAAGAAAGAAAACACTATAAAAGAAAGCAAAGTAGAAAGCAAGAGAGAGATATTATTGTCCAAAAGTTTTAAATACATGAAAACAAACTATTCTAAAAAAAATTATAAAATGTCAATATATCAAGAATAGACTGTTATGTGTAATTTGATTTGATTAAACCATTTTGAGACTGAAATGTAATTCATATATTTGAGATCGTGTAATTTATCACTCGATTGTTTCTATTTTTTGGTCAACAGTTATCACTGGATTTAAATCCAAATTAATAGCACATAGCATGTTGGTGAATTGAAAAGGTAACATTTTGGCCAAGCTAATGTGAGAGTGCCCAATATTACAGGTGTTTTAAAATTAAGTATTTCTTTAAGGAGAAAACGTTCATAAATCGGGAGGATCCACTCGCTACAGTTTCATCTGCCCAGAAAGTCCTTTAAATGAACCATAAAGAGGCTGTGATCTTCTAAAAGCGAAAACATTATCTATTTTAGACAAATGTGGTTCTGAGGCTTCTGCTTTGTATTCAGAAGAATGGCGGTTCCCATGAACTCGTACACTCAGAGTTTTCTTTCGAGGTGCACCAACTTTGACATATTCATTGAAGAAATCTATCAATTCTTGAAGCGTGAGCTGCCTTAATGCTTCAACCTATTCCAAAGCCATACAACATATTCTGAGTTTCTACATTTATTTTAATTTTCAAGTCAATTCATCCAACTTTTAAGTTCTAAATTCTCCTGTGTAATGAACTTCTGCACTTCACCCATATATCCAGAATAAAAAAAGTAGGGGGATACACACCCCAAAAAAAATAAAAGAAGTCTGTGGACATACCTCATAGTCTCTCCTATCAAACCTCAAAGTACCGTCATTAATCTCTCGCCAGAAAAATGCTGATTCTTCTCTCAAATTTTTGTGTTTCTCCAGCTTCATATCTATCAAAGCATTTACATTACTCTGCATGCAAGCAGTTCAGAAGTCAGCTGATTAACTGGTACATAGAACACAATTACCAACACATATTATAATGATTTGTTAAGCTTAAACTGTTATGTAAAGGCTCAAGAATCAAAATTGCTTTTCAATTAGCAATAGAAGTCCAATCCCAGCTATATGCCATAGCCAAGTTGATACATAAGAAAATGATGACTGAATTAAATATATTGACAAAGCCATTTCTTTCCCTGTGGCACCTTTGCTTCCTAAGCCCCAGATTCATGCCTAAACAAAGCATAATCCGACTGAGTCACAGTCAGTGGGCATTAACTCATTTCTTTTAGACTGACTCTACTCCTAAACCGATCTATCAATCATAAAAGAATAGCAAAATATCAGAATGTTTGTCACCATAAATTAGATATACATTGTTCCAGATGCAAATTTGCAACACATTCAAGTATAGTTTCAGTATAATAATATATGGCTCTTAAGAATATCATAATTTAATGCATTGACTTCCTCTAATAGAGTCCCAAGTCCCTTGTACATTGATTGAAATAGTCAAAAACTGAAGTGAGGTGTGTTTGGTTTAGCTTATTTAAGGAAAATTATCCCTTTCTTTTTTCACATCTTGTGATTGTTTTAATCAGTCCCGAATGTGCTACACTACAAATGATGGGTAAATATCATTATCCTTAATTATAAACGATGATGCACATAAACTCCTATATTCTATGTACATACATGTGCACATGCACATTAAGTAAACATGTAGATATCCCTTATATGATCTATACTAGTACTGCTTCCAGTTAGACGTTAATTCAAAACTCACACAAGTAGTAGGTCAGGCATATCTACCAAACATGTGGGGAAGAAACATTCTTTATTCAATCATGATTAGAGAACAACGATTCCAGAAAACAACTAAGTAAAATATTAATGGAACTATCAAACCTTGAATTCATCATTTGTCATCTCATTAAGTTTGGTCTCAAACATCTTGAGAAATGTCTCGACCCTTTGCTCAATGTATCCAGGAGACTGAGAAGCAAATAAAATACTGGGCTCGAACATAGGTCATAAAGTAAAAAAATTATTTAAGAATAGTTTCAAATAGGGAAAATACCTTTACGGTGGATTGGATAATAAACTGTAGTCCACGTATACCACAATTATTCCTACATGTGTTTAAAAAACTAGAGTTAAAAACAAGGGTAATTCTTTCAAGCTGTATACATCCTAATGCTACAGATTGACATACCTCTGCATGAGCACAGTAATGTACCCCAGCTGCTCAACTGATCGTAGCTGATGAAAGGTTGGTTGCTTTGCAACAAGTGCAAAAAGCTGAAGTTTAACATTCAGCTTGAAGTCATCTCGACCAACCTACAAATTTAATAGGTGGGTTATAAGCAACAATGTCTTAAAATATACAATGAAAAACAATTCATCAAATCAAATGAGTAGACCAAAAGGTAGGGAAAAAATACAAGTTTAAAAATATAGACAGAAAAACAGAGAACTTTGGTGGCCTAAATAAGATCTTTATAAAATAAAATTAGTAAGAAATTCAACACTTCAACAAGTCAGCAGCAAGGATTATTTCACATTGGAAACGCTAAAAAGACCTAAAAATGCATAACACGGAACACGGTTAAGGAAGATAACAAGGAATGACAAAAAAATTTCAGATATATATGATCCTGGATAGAGGCACTGGGTGCAATGCCAACACTTGGATGTAATTAACATGAAGAACTAATATAAAGGTGAAGGTTCCCCTCAACACGATTTTCAACCAGAGTCCATTTCATGACTAGACTAAAGAAACTAATTGAAGCAGGGTTCACCAAAGTCATGCCGAGATTGTTGGCATGAACTTGGAACTCTGTTCACAGCCAAAAAAGATTACATAAAACCAGGCATAATATGATAAATAGCTTTTGTCCAAACTGATAATGTTTGGATGGTTTGATGCATACCAATCTGACATTCAAACTCATCTTTAATACAAATGATCAATAAACAACTATTAGAACAAATTTACCTGTATATAGTGCACAAGAGCAGAATTCTCATCGTCAGGATTAAGACATTCTGAAGGGTAGAAGTAATTAATGCCACTTTCAAGTTTAACAATCCGATTTGTCAAATGTTGAGATGAGAATAAAGGCTTGCATAGAGGTTTTGAACAATTAAAGAGAACATCTTCTATGTGCCTAACCATTGACTCTGCTTCGTGGCTTTCAATGTTCCCTGTCAAGAAAATTTCACTGCAGTTGATAAAAGTAACTCACCAACCAAAAAGAGAGAGAAAGGATTAAGAACCTGCTATATAACACTCTAAAAAGGTCCTGGAAAGCATTGCCGGCACAAATTTAGCAAGATCTTCAACTTGAAGAGCAGGAAGTAATTCTAGCTGTTCTATCCAAGGCCAAGTTTGATCATGTAGTAACAAAGAGCAATAGTACATAGCCTGCTGATAGGGTTGTTGGTACTTGAAATTCTGGTAATCCTTGGTTACCATTTCCTGATAAAATAAATAAATAAATATGACATTAAATTAAAAGCCAAAACAACTTTTTATTTTTAAAAAGTTGACATGCACAAATTATAAATCAAATATTGAACATGAATTTATACCATAGTAGTTAATTCCAAATAGCAATGTGAAGTGGCTAATCTCAAAAACGCTATAGCAGGATGACCGTTATTTTAAAGATTTGAAATACACCTAAAATAGATTATGCTAGACCTATTTTGGAGGGGTTCAGAGACGAAAAACAGAAAAGAACAAAGAAGAAACAGAAACAGAGTGGTCTTTCATCGGAAAAAGGCTCTCTCAGCGGAAAATGTGTGGGTACTACTGGAAAACGTGTGAAACTGAGCTGGAAATAGTAAACAACAACCAGATTTTGGCCTGAAAACATCCCCTAATACAGATGGGTCACATCAGGAATGAGTGGGTTTTGCCAAAGATGAAGAAGACTAGAACTTGGCCTGAAATGGTGACTCACCAGATTTTGGCCAAAAAATCATGTCAGCCACTACAAAGTGCACAGCACAAAGCAGATGTTTTCGGAGATGGAGCACAGAGCACTAGGGTTCAACTACATGGTTGTTCGAGGAGGCTCTGAGCAATGTATAGAAAACAGCAATGTAAAAGGGGGCAAAATCCCAGGATTGCCCCCTTAGATGCCTTCCAACATTCAGAAAGAAACAGTAAAGTTGAAAGTTAAGCCCTGCATAAGTTTGCGGCTGCAATTTGCGCTGCTCTTCCTGCTACAAAAACCATGACACTATTTGCTTTGCATCACGGTAGGGAGCTGATACATTTGCTTTGCAGCAAGAACACTGCTATTGCACGCTATTAACTATGTCTACTATGATTCATACTATTTTGTTAGCATATTTTATTATATGATATAGAGTAGGATATGGCTCTGGGAATTTCACGAACTTAATGCTTGTAAAAACTGTAAGAATTTAAACATTACCACGTTTTTCTTGTTATATTTTATATTTGTGTTAGATTAACTTAATTTTAAATCTATAGAGAATTAAAAAAAATTAAATTTTTAAACAAATTTTATATTTTGAAACTTTGTAGCTAAGTCTATTATTTTCCAAATGGTCTTAACAGTATGTTGGATTCAGAGACACAAAGGAGTAAGGACCTTAAAACTACATGAACCAAATTACAAACTGAGTTCTAGTTTAAAAAATTCTAATTAGGTCCTTAATTTCAACCAACCATTAAAAATTCATTAAATTATTCTGATGACAAGGACCCAATTACAAATTATGAACAAATCCTCCAAAAATCAAATGACATTTAAAGTTGGGCAAGCAAGCATAGTGCCAACAGGAAAGCCAAGTCTTGCAAATAAGCAGATAAGCAAGAATAGATAAGATCAAGAATGAATAAAAAGAAAGTAGGAATAACACTAATGAGGGAAAGGTGATAGAATTACTTAAGATGGTTTGAGTATTTGAGATGAGGATAATAAGCTAGAATTTAGAGTTACTCAGGTGGTGGATAGCCCAATTGTGTAGGCAGAGAAAGGCCAAGAATAACTCCAAATGAAAGTATTAAAAAGGAAAAGAATCAAAATTACCTCTTTGAATACTCCAGTTTTTTAAAGTAGATTACAATAGCATATTTTGATCACATGTAACTAACCATCAACTCCACCTATGGTCCCATAGCTAGTCCCAAGTCGAGGTGAAGGAGGATGGTTGTGTTAAGCCTTTAAAAACCAACATAAAACTTATCAAAACATATTTAAAAGAAATCTAATGATAAATAATATATTAAAAATTTTTGTTTTTAATCAAATTCAATGATGTCATATTATTTATGTAGCCGACCTCACCTACTAAGATAAGAGTCGATTATTGTTATTGTAACTAACCCATCTAGTGGGTCAATTGTTGTGTTAAAAAAATGAGAAATATTAAAAAATACAAAGTAAAACATTTTAAAATAGAGGGAAGGTTACACTCGAAAACCAGATAATTATTCTTTTTGAAAAAACATTATTAATATATTTCAATAGAATAGTTAAATTTTGAACTATAATGTTGAGTCCAAGCTATAAAAGGTTATTTCATATGAAAACAAATTGAGTGGTCTCAAATTATTTGATAATTATTTCTAATTTAAAAATACCACTGCTTAACATAAATAGCAGCAGCGTTTGGCAAATTTTTTTCACTAGAAGTGCCATAACACTTTCCTAATGTAAATCATTCTGAGGGGGCCCACCAGGCAAGAACTCGAAAGGACAAAACTATCCAGTGAAAGTTCAATGATCAATAAGAGAACCAACATGAGGCACCAAAGGTACATCTCAGACAAATGAAATTGCCAAAGAAACTATATAAAATGAGCTAGACCCATTGATCATTAATTACAACCACGAATTGCCACACAGCATGTAATGTCATTTCCATTATTAATGGATAATAATGAATTTTACAACTTAAAAGGAAAAATTTAATTGCCAATCTTTTATGGAAAAAGACAGAAGAGAAGAGAAGAAACCACCAAAGAATCTTCCATAACCCATGTTGCACAATATAAAAAATCAATTTAATCACAAAAAGACAAGTGAACTAAATGCTGTGTCAGAATAGCCTGATACAGTACCTTTATAACTGAAAACCTGTCAGCTTTCACTACGAATTTCGCAATCTTTTCAACAATAGTTTCAAGCAAAATCCTTAACTTGTGATTATAGCCAATGAGAGTCACCTGAAAAATAAAAGAAAGTAACACATTTATTCAAAGTTAGGCAGAGGAGTGCAGAGTTCCTCTGTTTTCTATTTTCATTTATATTTCCACACAAATTTCATCATACAAAGCAGCCAAAACATAATAATAACAGCTGCTTGAAGGTTTAATTAAGATACGAAAAAAGTTGATAGATAAATAAAACTCCGTCATTATAATGAGTAGAAGACCCCTTCCAAATATGTCAATGTTGTCCCTTCTTGATATATTAATCAATTTTAGTATGTTATTTTGGTTTCAACTTTATAATCGTTAGGATCCCAATTGTGAACCTTTGCATAATGTCTGCTGTCTTAATAATCGTATTCATAAAAAATATATAATTAAACTTATAAGTACATTTTTATGAATCACATTTTGAAATTGCAGTATATCATTTATTGTTGGATGAAAAACATGAGTCACTAAATGATGTGAGTCTCACTCCCTTATAATAGGCCCTACTCCCTATCTAGTACTTACAATAGTAAATTAATCTAATAATGATTTGTTGAAAAGAATGTGTTAAAAAGTGTTTTGCCAGCATTCCTAGATTGATTATTGACTATTATTTAATGATCTAGTACGGAAATTGCAACTTTTCAAACCAAAGTACATTAAACACAGTACCTGGAAACCACCATCTATGTGATTTAGGCCGTAATATAAACCAGCAACCTGAGCATAATAAGCTGAAAAAGAATCCAGTAAGACCTCCTCCAACTTGTATTTAGCAACTGACTAGACACACTAAAATAGAAATGACTTTGTACAAAGTAAAGTCCATGCAAGTAAAACTAAACCTACCATATTCATTCAAGTAATCCATCAATAACTGTGTGAAAATAGTCGTCAAAACTTCAGCCTCGGGAGAGTTTCCAGCATATGGGCAATTGAAATCAATCTTCACATAAGCCTTGGGTGTCAAAAATACTGTATCTGGCTTATACCATAAGGCTGACTTAGATGACCTTCTTAACAAAACTGGAAACTTTACCTGTTTCAAAATATTAAAAATTTAATCAAGATATCAACAATAAAAATCATAGATAGATATAAATAATTGCAAAAATGCCATACTTTTTCTTGCACACTTTTAAGTGACAGGTCAGTTGGAATGAATTTGTTAGGAGCTGGAAGATGCATATTTTCATCAGGAGCAGAACGCACCCACTCCTGAAAATACAGGTGTATATAGGACTATCAAGTTCCATTCTTTCATGACAATCTCACTATATAACTAGACAAAAGACATAGTGAACCCATTAGGAAAAAAGAAAAATAATTTGAATTCATAATCCAATCCAAAAATCAAGCATAATTATTCATAAAAATATAGACCTGAATCACAGAGCCAGTGATCTTTTCAACAGAATATGCAGTTCCATACCATGGCTCCACCTTATCAGTAAGCCCTTCAAAATTTTTAGAATCCCAAAAGATTCTGCACGGGAATGAGTTAGCTTAAATCTAATCATAACAAAGTCACAATTCCTTTCATACAAAAGCTCAATCAACAAAAACAAATAGCAGAAAAGTAAAAAAGCAAAGATAACCATCTGCAAGTAATAGAAACAATCAATAAAACTGTCATTTGAACTCCAGGTACTACTAGTTGAAAGGATTCTGATGCTCCAAATACAAGATAAATTTCTCTACAAGTACATTAAATTCAACAAGGATTTAGTGGCCTACAAAAGAAAGGCGCAATGCATATGACGTGCTTAATCTGCCATTATCAAATTCATACTGCCAAAAATTAGCCAATCTTCACAATGAAAGCTAATTAAATTGTATAATTTACTTTCTAAGTTCCTAAATTGGTCTATTGAGTCATATATATATAAACAAATCTTAGCAAATAGATCTTATCATGAATAATCAGGATTAAACACATAAAAGTCTTGCGACACTTTTAAAGTCAAGTCTTATAAAATTGATCATGCAACTTTAATTAACATTAAATTCTGACAGTTAAAAAACACATTTGATTCCTACAATTAACACTCATAAAAATGATTTTCTCACTAGATACATCTTATATATGAGGAGTGCTAGGAACACACTTCAAATTGTTAATTAAAATTTATTAAAAACTATAATAATATGAAAAGAGAATCATAGACCCACGTGATTATTGTAGATTTTATTAAATTTTAGTGAATAATTAAGAGTATGTTACTAGCATTTCTCCTCTTATATTGATAAAACTAAGTTCAATCATGCAAACAAGCGTACAACCTTTGCTTTCATAAGTTTTCTTAAAGATATAAACAAGGGCAAGACAGTACCCAACAGATGGGACATAATTGATGACTAAGTTTTCATATTTTTACCAAGTAAACATTTATTACTGATCTTTAAAACATTTGAGTGGATTTGTAGAATGTGCATCATTACATAAAGTCCTAACACAATCCGCTTGTGTGAGAAAAAATGAATTAGACTTGTTTTCATGATCAGATTCAATCAAATGAAAAATTTGCTGGCACACAAGTCATAATAATAGTACATTCATGTATTCATGTACAATATATTTTGTTAGATATATAACAAATTATGAACCTCCACAAACACTTTAATCCCTTTTTTTGGGGTGAAATAATGGCTTAAACTTTTAGGAGAGTAGTTTCTTCACATGATTAATATAAATTTACAGATTTGATTTTAGTACACCTACCGAACATTGTTTGGAGAAAGCTGATCTAGTACCATTTGGATCACACTTGGGCTAAATTTAGAAGGTAAGGATGATCCTGTCAACCAATCTTTAGGAGGATAAAACTGAAAAATAACAAAGATCCATTAATAATAAGATTTCCATCAAGAAGGCTCCACTGTGAAGTTATATACTTCTATATCAAAAGAAATATGGAGTACCTGCATATTTGATGCAATATTAACAACATAATCACTAGGAGGAATTTTGTCTTGATAATGAAACTTGGTCTCACAGACTGCTGAAAGCTTCATGAACATGGAAAATTGAATTAGAAGCTATTTAAACCAGGTGGGCAAACAGAAAGAAAAGAGAATTTGATACCAAATTTAATGTGGTTCAACAGTCTAAGCAAACTATTGGCTTACTACCACAAGTGAAGCATTGATGAAATTCACTATCATCAACACAGATTGCAATTGTAAGTAGTATCAGCTGTTCAGCTTTGAAGCCCAATTAAATACAAGCGACTTTAATACTTCAATCGAAAATACTTAAGAATCTCTGTAATCATTTATTTCTAGTAATTATTAACAATTTTTTAATTTGAAAATGATATTTCAATAATAAGAGAGAAGAAAAAAACTCAAGATGATTCATAAAATTGTTCAAGTATTAAAATTGTAAAAGCAAATATCTAACAAATATCTCAAATCATTATTACTTCTTATAATATTGAGAGTATCATAGATTTTCTTAGGATTGTTTTTCATATTTCCTTACATTTCATGATTGTTTCCTTGATTAAAACCACAGATAGTACCAAGAAACAGTCCAAACATGCCCAACCTGATGGGAAGGGAGGGAGGGAGGGAGGGAGAGATATAACATGTCATATATGACTAGGGAACATTGAAAAACTGCAAGCCAAGGAAGCAAAACAAAAGCTTCCAAACTTTCCAAAATTTCTGCAGTGAAATAGTGTGAAGACAGGCTATAGAAGATCATACAGCTTGAAATTTGGTCTCATCGCCAGTGCCAAATGCAGTTTGTCCCCCCATTTCTAGTCCTCAGTATTACCTCATATTTTCAGTTTATTTTTCTGTGTGTAATTCTAACAAAGCTTTGTAAGTTTCAGCTTGAGGAGAGTAAAAAAATATATATCTAGAAAATATCTCATATCATAATATCAGTTTTATATCTTAAGAATATTAAAGAGTATCTTAAATAATCTCTTAGAAGTATTTTTCATATTCCAATATATTTCATGTGTTGTACCTTATTTGGTTAAGAGTCAAGTACTATTATAAATACGGGTTAATTTGAAAACACAGCATTTCACACCATAAATCAATATTCTATTATTCAGAATTTGTCCTCCCATTTCCTCTACCAACTATATCCCTATAATTTCAACAAAAAATTAATGTACACATTTAAATGAGACCATTGACCATTCTTAGGATGTAAAGAATGACACTAAACAACTGAAAAATCACTGGTTAATAGCTGTCATGTTGTAGACAGAGACATTGGAGAGCAACTCATTAGTTTAGACTACAAGCTATTCATATAATTAAAGCTTATCTTGTTTTCAATTTGACAGATCCACATTAATCACATCAATCAGAAAAACCTCTGAAGCACAACTAATAGTCGGATGTGTTCCAGAGGGCTTTAGTGCATATGGACAAAATAAATTTTGTATCAGAAATAAAAAACTTCATGCCACAAACCCCTTCATGTCACTTTCTAACTTTGTTCCTTCTTTTGCTGATTGGTTATACACTTTTCTTTTTGTGAAAAAATATGTTAGAAAAAAACAGAAGAGGGAGAGATGATTACAGGATAAGAGGATGAGGTGGCAAGAAATACTTCTTGACAAAAGTAGTAGAGAAAGTTACATAGAGACACTTGACATTAAATTAAAAACAAATTCATCATTGAATAAAGATTTGTTAGGCTATCATAATAGTAATAAAAATTTGTTTGCAAAAAGCCTATCATGTAGTAAAGATTTGTTAGACTACCAAAAAAACAAAACAAAGCAGAGGGTATATTCAATCAATACATAACCTATATACATACCTCTTCAAATATCCATTTGCAAACACCAGACTGTTGTAGAAGATCAATGTATTTGAACAATAACCCTATGATATCTTGTATGTGCTCTACCAATCCAAGCAAAAAGTACAAAATGAGATTACAGAATCAATAAAGAATAGATAACAGACCTTGAATTTAGTAAAAGAACTATTATTATTATTAGTTGTACTATTGGTAGTAGTAGTAGAATTAATCATTGCATTATTTCTGCCATGAAGAGCATGCTTCATGATTAGAAGTTAACATGGTATGATGGTAATATTTTTAAATTTTTTGAAAGAGTGATATGTACAACAAATGAGAAAATGATACAGAAGAGACAGAGAAATCTAACCATGACCAGCATCAGTAAGATCAATAACAACTTTAAAGAAAGAAAACTCCAAGCTCGAATCAGATTCACCTGCAGACAAGCCGGTAGCCCATCCTGCAAATGGAATTTTTTCCTATGGTGTGAAATGAGACCACATAATATGTAGAAACTAGAATATGTCTATAAGAATTTATCAGAAAAGCATTGATCCAAACTCCAGAGGATCATATGTATATCCATGACGAAGGTAAAGAAACCCAAAAGGTATGTTAAGAATAGTGGATCTTCAACTGACTCCAATTCCATGTAGAAAGAAAGGGACTGAGGGAGAAAGAAGGTGCAAGAGAAAAATGATTTGTTCTGGAAGCACAAACTCAACTATTAGGCTCAGCTAACTATCCATTTACACTGCAAATTGAGTAGCACTTACACATAATACAAGCTTTGAAGCCAAAAACCCAACAAACATATAAACTTACATAGAGCTTTCTTGTTCTTTCTTACCAACCTATATTTAGGTGAAATAATACCCGTAACACCTTTCAATTTCTTACTCATTCCCCAAAGGAGGAGGAAACCTAACTCCTTTCATATGGTTGGCAGTATCAATATTAATGTTAACGATCATAGTAGTTTCACTAATCAAACAAAGCACTCTCCTCCAAAGCTTGTGATATGCCTTTTTCTTAACATGGTTGAAGCTACTTGTCATTTCTAACAATCAACTCCAAGACACAAACACATACCATACCCCCAATTTCATGATGAAATCAAAATTACCACAGGGCCAGTAATGTGTAATAAAACCAAAATCGGATAACGAATAACTTCAATATATCACAAAAGCTGCAACTTATAGGAAATGAACAAGAGTTGTAGAAACTTCATAAAGGATATCAAAAAGTTTGTTAAAAAGAACTGGAGAGAAGAAAACAAGGGATCACTAAAAAAATAGGAAAGGAACAAAAGCATGTTTCATGCTTAGAAATTACAAAACTGAGAAAGAAAAAGGTTTACAGAAAACTATTTTGAGAAAAAAAAAAATCATCCATCCTCCTTTAATTTGCTTCAAAACCAGTGTTAACACACTTGAAATTAGAGAGGACTGGGGGGAGAAAGTAACATTTTGAAATGTGGATATTTTTTAAATTTTCATTAATATAGGCAAGATCTGACAAGCCTTGGTGCAACAGCATGGTTGCAGCCTTGTAACTTGGAAGCCATGGGTTCAAATCATAGAAATCGCTTGCAAAGTTAAGGCTTTGTACATATACCCTCCCTAGGCCACACTTGGTGGGATCCTCGCACACTCGGTCACCCCTTTCATAGGAAAGATCTCATATAAAATAGAAGGATCAGATTTTAAATTAGACAATTCCAAGATAACTAACAATGAAATATGCAGAGATAGAATACCCACCCAGTTTTTTCAAGATGTAATATAAAGACCCTTCTCCTTCATGGCCAATGAGATGACCCAGATACCTGCATGGTCCTTCAGTGTAATGATGAATTTCAGGGGTTACTGGCCATACAATTCTCAATTTATGACCTTGTTTTATTGGAACAGTCTTGACAAGAATCTAAAACAGAAAGCCAAAGCAGGAAATATATTAGAATCAATGCTGAAGAAATTTGTTATATTTTACCTTTAAGACATGGAAAATGTGCACCTGCAAATGCTCAGATTTGCATGGCTGACCACGAGCATGGAAACAACTTTTGTTGGTGTTTCTAATATCCTGGAACTTCACCTCCACAATGTTTTGAATTTTATCAAGACTTTCTGAAAATATCCACACACAAACAATTGAACTGTAACTACTCAAAAAAGTAAAAAAATAAACAACTAAACTTGTAAATTGTAAGCAAAATATCTGTTACCATTTGTGTATATAACTAGATGCATTATATTAGCAGAATAGTTTTCTTCATAGAATTTGAGAAGCTCCATCCTTGTGTCTAATCCTTTTGCTTTGGGTCTAACTTCCAAAGTGTCCCAGTTCCCTAACAAAACAGCTATTTTAGAGCAATGTAGTAATATCTATGATGAGAAGACTATTTCAACCATGAAAAAACTGCAAATATTCCAGCTTGATTGGGACAAACATATTTCTTTCAGAACAAATTATAATGAAGTTAAGCATACTTATTTAGTTTAAAGCACTAATCACCTGAGCAGGTTATATGCAGAATCATATCAGTGACATAATACTCATGCATTTAAATCAATTGAACTAAGGAGAGAGAGAGATTCTTAAAGCTAATGAACTTGGACAAGGAAGAAAGCAGGTAAATGTTTTGTCTGCACAGAAGAAAATTCCACACGTCTTCATTCTCTCACAAGGCAAAAAGAAAACTTGACAAAACATAAAATCTAGCTCTTAACGTCCATTACCATATTTGTCAAGCAGCCAATTGTTTTCAATAATAAAATATTAATTAGGAAAGAAACATCGACATCACAATGTTTTAAAGAATTTGGACACATAAGCAAAGCACCGCTCAGTACCAATTTTTGACTAAATAAACAACAAAAAACTTTAACAGTTAACACAAGATTAATGAAAAGAACCATTTAGCTCTGCACACATGCAAAATAAAAGGAAGAATAAGTTTAAAAAAATGAAAGTAATATGGTACAAAAATTCAAAGTTTAGCTGTTTAATTTAAAAAAAAAAAAAATTAAAACAATCACTGACCTGTGCTAAATTTATGATACGGATGATCTTCATCACTGAGATGTTTATGAAGCTGTATAGATTGGAATGTTTCACCAGGGGAGAGAAAGATTATTAATATTTCTCCATGAAAGGCTTAAAAACATAATTTTTAATGTCTGTAAAGCACCCAAAGACCCAAATAATATCGGAAGAGAGAAACCACAAGTAGATAGAGAGGATGAACAAAAGGGATAAGGAAGAAAAACAGATGAAGAACTACAAATGCAACAAACCAGTCCAACTTTGAATAACAAATAAATCATCAATCTTTTCTATGCTTTGGGACTAGAGAGAAGAGACAGGCGATCCTACTGCCCTTTCATCAGCTTTGTTATCAATTTGATCCAGCTGGAGGAGCAAAAATAATTCTACCATATTTCTATGTCCATGTATGAATTGTCAGTCCAAGTATTTTCATAAGACCCTGGCCTCAAGCATCAGTAATTAACAAACTGTCATTCAGTGAGTTTCACCACTCTCAACAACTCACCACCATTAGTAAAAGCTACACAAAACATCCGAAAATGAAAAAAAAAAGGACAAGACTAACTAATTCAACAAAGTGGATTAAAGTAATTGTAATTATAGTAATAAAGTAAGTTATCCATAGTTATCAATAGTGGCCGCTATCGTGGCGTAGTTCCGCTATGGCGACCCTGTAGCGTCGCGGTTCAGTGTCGCCCCACAAATAGCGGCCAGAAATCGTGGCTATAGCAGCCGCTATGATGTTCTTCCTAAAAATTCCGAATCTACCCTCTATTTTTTTAACATTTGGGCTTTTAGGGGGGGGGCACAATATTAGGATTTCGACTCCCCTTTATTTTCTAAATCTTCTCCCTCCCTCTCACAAACCCTAACCCCTCAACTCACCTTTCAACTCTCTTCTCATTTCTCCTTTCATTTCATCTCTTTTCTCTTTGTTTCCACTGCTAGAGTGAGGCCTTCCTCTCCGGCGAGGCTTCTAACAAGAAAGGAACGTTTTTCGGTCATCTTCTTCGTCTCCGATGAAGCCTCTAATGTGACCCAAATTATTTTGAGTCATTTTCTTCATCTATTGTCGTCTTGTTTAAGGTCAACGAAGATTCTAACATCACCCAAACACTTTCCAGTCATCTTCTCTATCTCCGGCAAACTTTCTGGCGAACTGCACATTTTCCGATGATTGAATCTTTTTTTTTTCTATTTTCTTCTCTATTTTTTTATTTCCTTCTTTGTTTTGATTCCCCTACTTTGTTTTGTTTCAAACTTCAAAGCTTCAAGTAGAAGCAATGGCTACTCCTGCACCCTTTGCTTTTTGTTATTTATTTCCTTCTCTAATTTGAGTTTTCCTTTTTCGTTTTGTTACAAATTTGTATATTAGTTTTATATTTTTCAACATGTACGTGTGTATTAAAATTTCAGAATAGCAGTCATAAAGCTACCACTATCCCCGCTATAGCATTTTTAAAGTTGGCCGCTCTATGCCACTATCCAGGATAGACTTGAGTTATCTTTGTAATTATACTAATTAAGTAATTGAATATTCTGTAAATATCTTGTAATTATTGTTATTATCAATATAAATATATGCTTCATTGTGAAGTTAAAACATGCAGATTCATCCACATGTTCTCTCACTTTTTTCTCTTTTAACATAGTATCTAGAGCCTAACAAGAAACTAACTTTAATCCGTACATCTTTAGTGGGTCCACCGACCATGGGTAAATTTTTTTACCAGAAACCAACTTCATCTCTGGTTTCCAGTCTTCTTTGGTACTGTTCACCACCATTGCACTGTTCCAGAAATTTTTCCAGAACCTTTCTACTGGCAACTGTGTGATCTGAACCATCTCTTCGTGCGCAACTCAACCCAGCTGGACCCATGTTGATCAGAGCTCTAACATGCACTCACACGCTGCAACACCACAGCACATCCAATTGTCCAGTAACCACACATGGCAGCGTGTGACACCATTTCTCCGACAGTTGTCAACACCAATGTGACGTGATTCCCCTCTCCTTCCAGTCTGCATTTGGTTTGCTTGTTTTTTCTTCTATAGCCGCTGTTTGGCATTTTTTACACTTTTCACATCAGTTTGCCTTGCTTCTGCACTGTCCCATGGCCCAGGAAATTTCATTTGCTCCTTCTGAGTTTATGGCTTCTGTTGTGCCCTCAACCTTTGCTCCTCCTCCCCCTACAGTGACTTCCACTACCTCTATTGCACACACTAGCAAATCCTCCATCAGTATCTCTCTCTCTCCCTCTCCTGCCTCACGGGTCCTTGATTCTAGGGCTATTGATCACATCACCTATAGCAAGTATTTTTTTCTCATCTCTTTCTACTTCTATTTATTTACCATCAATTACTATAGTCAAAGGGTCTCAAACACAATATCAGGGTCTTGCTAATGTTCATCCCATTTTGTCACTATTTGTTAATAATGTCCCTTTAATTCTGATTTTGTATGTTCTTAAATGTCCCTTTAATTCGTTATTTATCAATCGTTTACCTCGTTCTCTTAATTGCATTGTATCATTTACTACAGACTGTTTCTACAAAATCAGAGTTCAGGAAAAATGATTGGTACCAGATTTGAGTCACAAGGACATTATCATCTATATCCCTCAGCTCAAGTTGGTTCAGTGGTGGACTCTCTTCTCCTTGTTCTTGCTTCGTTGGGCCATTGTTGTTTGGAGTCCAAGTCATATGATGTCTACATTAGGATGTAAGTATTTTATTACTTTTATTAATGATTATTCTCGTTGCACTTGAAAACTCAATTAGAGTTATTTTCTACATTTAAACAATTTTATCACGAATTAAAAATTAATTTGGTGTTCCTATTCACACCTTGCAAAGTAATACTCATGAATATTTGTCTCCCACTCTTCAAATTTTTATTACTTCTAATGGTATTCTTCATAAAACTTCTTATACTCATAACCCTCAACAAAATGAAATTATTGAAAGAAAAAATAAACACCTTATTAAAATTAATCATAATCTTCTTATCAAAGCTTACTACTTTATTAATTGGATGCCTTTGTTCATCCTTAACAACCAAATAACCCACTTTTCTTATTTTTTCATCAATATTTACTTCCTCTCCTTCCTTGTGTCTTCAGGTCCACTTGCGTTGTTCATAATCCTAGTTCAAGGATTAACAAGTTAGGCTCATGCTCACAAATGCATCTTTCTTAGTTATGCTCAATCTCAGAAAGGTTATAAGTGTTACTACCTAACTCTTCATCATTATCTCGTTCGTCTCAACTAATGTTACCTTTTCAAGTTGAATCCATTTTTTGAGTCTTCTCCTTCTCCTCCTTCACCTTTTGAACCTGAGTGTGAGTTTGCCACACGTCCCTTGTCTCTTCCTCCTATTTCAGATATTCTCCTTCAATGTCTTTTGCAAGAATACCATAGACAAAATCATATATTCTCTTTGGCACCTCCAGCTAATGATGAGCCTCCTTTTGACTTACCTTCAACACCAACTCTTCAGCCTCCTATGGCCTTGCCTTTTGAGCCTAATCTTTCTATTGCTCTTTGAAAGGATATACGCTTCACTCACTCATAATCCCTCTCCTCATCATGTTACTTTAATATATCATTGTTTGTCCCCTTCGCATTATACTTGTCTTTCCTTGATGCCTTCTATTTCCATTTCTATTTCTAAAAATATAGGTAAAGCTCTATCCCATCTTGATTGGCGAAAGGCCATGATCAATGAAATGCATGCACTTCAAAGTACTTAGGACCTAGTTTCTCATCCTTCAAAGAAGTCTATTATTGGATACAAATAGATTTATATCATCAACGTTGACCCTGATGGTAATATTGATCATCTTTAGGCTCATATGGTGACCAAAGGCTTACACAAGTCTTTGGTTTAGATTATGGTGATATATTCTCTCCAGTAGCTAAAATGGCCTCTTCTCGTCTACTCTTGCCCATGGTTGCAATCCGTATTATACGCTTGATATCAAGAATGTTTTTCTCTATAGTGATCTCATGGGAAAAAAATTAGAGAGCAATATCTTGAATTTGTTGCTTAAAGGAAGTCTTTCAAATTAGTCTACCGTCTTCGAAAATCCTTTTATAGACTTAAAACAATCTCCTAGAGCATGATTTGGTCGCTTTAGTACATTGGTCCAAGAAGTTGGAATAACTCGATGTGAAGTTGATCACTCAATTTCTTGTCGCCATTCTACCTCAAGATGCATTTATTTTATTGTTTATATCGACAACATTGTTATTAAAGTTGCGATCATCATGGTATTACACATATAAAGCAACATTTATGTCACCATTTTCAAACAAAAAATCTTGATAGACTTCGATACTTCTTGAGAATAGAGGTGACAAAATCTCAAAATGGCATTGTAATCTCTCAAAGGAAGTATGCATTGGATATTTTAGAAGAAGCGGGATTGATGGATGCCAAGCTTGTAAACACTCCTATAGCTCCTAATTCCAAACTTCTACCAAATTAAGGCGAGCCTTTTTTTGATTTAAAGAGGTATAGAAAGCTTATTGGGAAGCTAAACTATCTCACTGTCACTCATCCAAATATCTCTTTTGCAGTCAATGTGGTAAGTCAGTTTTTTATCTCCCCTAGTGAAGGAGATTAAGACGCAATAATTTGCATTTTAAACTATATCAAAAGAGCTATGCAAAAAAACTTGTGTGAAGATAAAGGTCACACTCAAATTGTAGGTTATTCTAATGCAAATTGGGCAGGCTCCCCTACCAATAGGAGATCAATTTCTAGCTATTATGGATGGTAATTTGATTTCTTGGAAGAGTAAAAAACAAATTATAGTTTCATGTTCAATTGTAGAAACAAAATATCAAGTTATGGTCTTAGCTACATGTGAACATATCTAATTGAAACAATTGTTTAAAAAATTGAGATTTGGAAAGGGTATGAAAATAACACTCATTTGTGATAATCAAGAAAACCCTAAATATTGCCTCAAATCTAGTGTTCTATGAAAGAACAAAGCATATTGAGATATATTATCATTTCATTAAGGAGAAAATATTATCTGAAGACATCATCACTAACTTTATCAATTTAGATGATTAAGTGGCAAATATCTTAACCCAAATCATTGAGAGCTTCTCATATTAGTTATATATATGACAAACTTGGTACATATGACCTATATACTCCTGCTTGAGGGGAAGTGTTAAATATATGTAATTATATTAATAAGGTAAGTTTATCTTTATAATTATGTTAATTAAGTAATTAAATATTCTATAATTATTGTTATTAGCAATATAAATATATGCTTCGTTGTGTAGTTGAAACTTGAAACACATAGGTTCATCCACAAGTCTCTTCACTTTTTTCTCTTTTAACAGTAACAATATATGAAAAAAAAATTATAACTGTCCTCCTGAGTGGTCTAAATAATGCAGCACAAGTGACAGAAAAGTGTATGCATGCAGACACATATACTGGATAACCATGTTCAGCACCAGACTACAATAAATAAGCTACTTACAGCTTTAAAACTTAATCTAGAGCATCTTAGACCAATTTAGCATCTAACTGTTGTGAAAAGCTGCATGGACACAGAAATCATCTTGAATATCATATTTATCAATCTTGGATAGTGGCAGGTAGTGGCCAACCAAAACATATTATAGCTCTACACCACATAGTAGGATGGTCGCTATTCTGAATTTTTATATACAAATAAATGCTCTAAAATAAAATTTACAAAAAAAAACTCAAATTCATGACATTTATTATTAACAATGGAAGGTCATAGGTTTTAAGAAAGTAAATAACAATATAAAGGTCAAGGAAACAAAATAATATTTCAAATACAAGACATCTTAAACATTCGATAAAAAAGTGGGGGTGGGTGTTAGAGAAAAGAACAGAGGAGGTTGAGGGTTCAGAGTTCAAAACAAAGGATGATGAGAGTTTAGAGAAAAAAGAAGAATACAGGGTGGGTATCGTTGGAAATGTCGACAGTCACTAGAGGTGGGTGGGTGTTGGTCAAACAGTGTTACGGGGACATTTCCAGGGCAAAAAATGGGCTTTCCAAAATCCTCATTCTAGCTCTACTATGGCCACACTTGTGGGTGCTACAATCACTCTTCCAAAAAGCTTCAAACTTTGTTGCAGCCCATGGCCATGGCCCATTCCACACCACTACAACAGGCTATTGATAACTATATATGAATATTAAAACTACATTCCATCCTAAACAAAATAAAGGGCATTTTCTCCTTGTTAATACTACTGAAAAATCTGTTTTGAAACAAGAATATTGAATTCTCAGCTCAAGCATCCAACAGTACTGCATAACCCCCTAGAAACGATTTAAAAGCATAGTTGATACCTGGTTCATTCTCCATGCATCAGATAACAAATTCTTCTGGTTTTCTGTAAGAAAGAGAGAAGAGGAAAAGTATACAGGTAAGAAAAGGGAGAAATAAAACAAAAGACGTCAAATAAAACAAAAAAGGTTAGCTAACCAGAGTCAACAGCTTTAATTTCCCTCATGGTGGCATCAGCAGACATCAATGGTTTAGTGAAGAATTGAGCAAATCTGGAGGAAAAACCATACACCAAGCTAAGAATTTTTACAAGGGAAAAAAAAAAAAAAAACCATAAAAGTAAGATTTACCTGTCCAGAGCCTCTTCAAAGCCCTCTGTATTAACATCAAAATAATAGTTGGTGTGATCAGAAGATGTAAAAGCGTTGGTGCTTCCTCCATGCTGTGTCAGAACAACAGCAATGAAACCAAACAAAAGTTATTAAATAATAATACAATGGAATCATTCAGATTTTCAATCCTTAATTGATTTTGATATAATGATATTTGATACAACATAAAAAAAATAGAAACTCTTAAAAATACAAGCTGCATCTATATAGATACTTGCAGAGTGAGAGGCTGATGTATGAAAGCCAAAGCATAACATAATTTAAGTTCAAAACACACAGTAATAAAATGATCATAAAGTCTTACAGTTATAAGGCTTTCCCTCCATTCCTTTCCCCTTCCCTTTCTCCCAAACAAGCCCTTGGAAAAACTTATGAGCCCAAGAGATCACATTCCTACCCCCTCCCCGCAAGAAACAAAATCCAGGTCTTGAGTCCTAAACCCTCCAAATTTGAAAACATGGAAAAATCAAAATAGTGAAGACATGGCAAAATCAAGTTAAAAAGATATAGTATCTACGCAGTTCGTTTTGACCTAGAAATGTGCTAAATTTGTGGTTTTGTTCAGCAAGTGTGATCCATAAAATTTTAATGGTTTAAATAATGTTGTGATTCCTATACTTGACTCACTTGACTCGGATTTGTAAGTTAGTCCCTATATGTAAATGATGTTAAATAAATAGGGGATTAAACTGAGAATAAATGTAGTATGAAGACTAATTTATAATTTTTTTACATGTAGGGACTAACTTACAGATTTTATTTTTATAAATTTGCAATACACCTTTGTTTTGTATCTTGATTTTGTAATTCACTCATACCCTCCCCTTTACCTCCACCTTAATTCCATTATCTTCATTCTTTCTTCCTTTGCATAACTTCAATGGAGGCCAAAGTCTTTTTTTCTTTTATTTTTTCATCCCCAAAACTCAATTAACTCTTAACAATCTCACTGAATTCTCTTCTCTTTTCAACCACTTCATCTTCACCCTCACTCTCACCCACACCCACCTACCCCAAACCTCAATCCCTCATCAAAATCTTTTCCGTCCTCAAATGCACCCTTATCGATGTTGTTAACAACAAATTTACCAATGCATTCATCTACGTCTTTATCCACTCCCTTAACACCATCAAAATCAATATACAAATCAAAGGTGTATCACAAATTTACAAAAATACTATTGACTAAGATTTGTAAGTTAGTCTCTATATATAAAATTTTGTAAGTTAGTCCTTACATGTAAAAAATTTGTAAATTCGTCCTCATACTACATTTATTTTCAATTTAGTCTTTTATTTATTTAACATTGTTTATTCTAAAGTCTAAACTTAACAGCAGCCAGTAGGGACTAAATCGAAAATAAATGTACGTATGAGGACTGATTTACAGATTTTTTACATGTAGAGATTAACTTACAAATCCAAGTCAAATATAGGGACCAAAACATTACTTAAACCAATTTTAATTAAGTAAAAGAGAAGTAAAAAAAAAATACTAAGTCCCTTATAAATAACATGTACACTGGAAACACACCTGTTTCTTAAAGCTATACTAAGTTCTCCAGAAAATTTGAGTACAAACATCCTTGTAATCTATTAAAAACTTATTAACATAGCTAGACAATGATCAAAACTACATAAAATATCAAATTAACTCATCTAATAAATTATAATCATCAATTGTCAGACCTGGAAATATCCCATAAGGTTGGACGTTGATTCTAAGAGGTTTAGATCATTTTCTTATTAAATAAACAGTTAACATATATACATAGAATGTACATAGAAGTAGCATGAACTCAACTTCCAAGCAAGGTATCAATCAGTTTTAGATATAGGGGCTGAGCATTGAATTTCAGCAAAATAAAAGGAATACTGGAATATTTTACTCATTTTAAAATTTAGATGGTTTTAGTTTTTACAGGCAGTTTCCTATTTCGTGTTATTTTAGTGCTAGAATTTCTTTTGAGTCCATTTTGCATGTCTGCAAATTCTCTCTCTAATTATAATTATTTTTTTGTCAGTTAATATATGCAATTTTTTACCTCACCCTCCTCCCCTTTCAAAGTTTCTGATTTCTGCAAACATAATAAAAGAATTGCATTCAATTATTTTGCAATCTCTCTCGTAAAGAATTAGGATTTGATTGGAATATTTTCTGAATTATTTTCCAGCTTTCCTAGTTTCCTGAAATTAGTGATTGCAAATCATGTTATATATATTCAATCATGCTGAGGTTCCTCATGCAATTCAGAATTCTTTTGCCCCTTTTCAGGTAATGCTTTCAACAAAATTTCAACAGTGACTAACATTCTACTGATAAGTATCAATAAAATTAGGATAGATGTCAACATGGATTAGATATTTCCTTCAACTTTATCATTTCATAAACTTATGGATAAATAAAATCAAGGTACTGAAATATATAGGAAGAAAAGGGTTAAAATTTCTGTGCACTCTTTCCACAAGGAGTGGTAAGAAAATTTCATTGCATCTTTCACAGGTTAAAAGGAGCAGACATCCAAACACTATGGTATTGGCACCTCAGCAATATATTTGGAGTAGCTATCTTCCATTGGGTATTTTTCACTGGCATAAAACAGCATGTGCTCTGTCAACCAAAAACACAAATGACCAGAATAAAATTATTGAAATGGATTTCAAACCGTGAAGGTAAATGAAATAAATAAATTTACTCCACCCCACCCATTAAGCTATCAAAATATAGCTCTTGGCATAAATAATAATGTCCAGATGCCAGAATTAAGTACATTCTATTTTTCATTTTGTGTACCGAACAGCACCACATAGAGGCTGTACCTTAAAGCGTCAATACAAACAAATAAAGTAGCAAATGCCCCAACAATTAGCTCCTCTTTTCAATGTCTACATTCTATCTTATCTTCTGATAACTAATTTTTGTCAAGAGTTTTACACTATCACTGATCTATAGACTCAACTTTCCCTGTCCTACAATATAAACCAGATTATGATCATAAGCGCACATCAATGTTCGAACAAGGAATCCTATACAAATTGAAATATATCCACGACAGGTTTGGATGCAATGCATGGAAAGTGAAATACCTAGAAAATGAGCAAGGCCTTCAAGGCCAGCAGGGTCACTGAAGGAACCGACGCCAACGTCCATGGAAGCAGCACACTGCAACGAACAAAATCACTAATCAGAGAGCGAAACACAGAAACTGAAGAGAACCAAAGTGAAATGGAAAAGAGAATCGGAAGCAAAGATCAAAGAGAAAATTAAAATTAACCTTATCGGTATCGGGATCGCTAATGAGAAGCACTTGGAGAGAATTGCTAAGCACGATCCTTCTGTAGTCCCTCTTATCGATGCGAGCTTTAACGATCTCAACGTCTTCTTTCCCCACTGCCATCTTCACAACCCTAATGTGTTCTTATTATGGCTTACGAGTGTTGGAAGGTAATGCTTTATTTATTCTGTTCCTTGCACTAGCAACTCGATTTGAGAGAAGAAGATAAGGGCGTTGAAGAATATTGATATTTTGTGGAAACACAGAAAAAGCCAGACAACGACTCTGTTTCGTTTCTTCCTTTTTCTTGTTTTATTATTTATTTTTTTTCCAAGTCTCCCTTCTCTATTTCGTTTTCTTTCTATGCTGAGTGTGAGGTACAGGTATTTTTTTCTATGGCTTAGACTAGTTGCATGTGGAGTGCAGTAGCGTCTGCTCCTTGCCGTGTAAGTAAACAGTGTATCCAATAACTAGATTGAAAATTAGACACAAAACTCTTTATTTTGTACAATATTCCGGATAATTTTATTTATTTATTTAAACTTTATCATCAAATTTTTAATATAAACTTTTATATAAAAACATTTAATTAAAATGCACTCGTAAATACACAAGTATATCTTTTTTTTAATGATAACTATCCTCAGTCCCCACTTTCTGTTGTTGTCCATAATAAATGAGTAATAAATATCAAAAAACCATTACGACACCGTTTCGAGATAAGAATGGATTGGATCAAATATGATATCATCATCGTATTTGGAAGAAATATTTATATCTCAACTCGAATTTAAGTTGGCAGAATTTCTAATATTTTTATTCATTGGTTATATATATATATATATATATATATATATATATATATATATATATTGGAACTTATCATTTAGATTTTAATTAATTTGAATATGATTTATCGTAACGCAATTATTTGATAAATTAATAAAATATAAATATTATTATAATATTAATATTAACGATAAAAGAAATAAAAAATACATTGATTAAAAGTTTAGTGTATAACTCAGTTGAAAAAAATATCTAAAGACAATTCAATTTCTAATTATAAAATTTATAAAGATATTGTTTAATCCAATTAAAATTATTTTCAATTTCAATCATTAAATATGCTCATATTTGTGAATAGTTTTAAACCTAAATTTATTTAATAGATAAAAATCTAATAATTACAAGTAGGATATTTATTAAGTCTAAGTTGGATTGTTATCAATCCTAACTCTTATCCCGGGATGTGTTTTATACGATGCTAATTTTCTACCAAACAAATTTAGTATTTATATATATCTATCTAGCTGTAAAAAGCCTAATTAGCTTGATCCTAATATATTGTTCATATTTTCTTTTCTCTTTGAAAGCCACTTTCACGGTTAAATAATTATAATAACAACAAAAGTCTTAATTACAGTTAAATTAACAGATTATACCACTATCTCTTGCAATCAATCAACTAAGCATAAAATAGAAGGATTAATCAATACATTAACTTGAAGATAAGATAGAAAAGAAAAACGTAATGCTTATTTTCTCAACAAAAGCAGAATCTACTGAGCATAAATATAACAATGTATGAGATGGTAATGAGAAATTTCGAGAATGGAAAGAAAGAAAAATAATGAAGAAAAAAAGCTCACCAACGTGACAATGGAAAAAAGAATTCAGGTAATCTCAATGAAGATGGTAAGTGATTGTATTAAAAGTTGACTCTAACGAAAAAAGAAGGAATATATAAAAGTAAAAAAAAGTGTAAGTAATTTTGTAAATAATTAAGAATGTTAAAAAAATTGAAATTAGAGTTTGTTGAACAAAATTTGAAAGTATTTCTTGGGTCAGAGTCAACCTATGAGTATTCCTACTCTGACCTCATATATTATAAGCTAAAAAATTTAGAATCAAATTAAATTATTTTAACTAATATTAAAGTAGTACTTTATAAATTATTTTAGGGTTGGGTAGGTCTAGTCCCAGAACTTTGATCCTTTTTAACATCACTATATATTTATACACTAAATTAGTTGATAGCAACACTATTAACCGTTAATTTAATGAGTGTAAGATTTATGTCTTCATTGATCCTAACCCTCCATTTTGTCTCATGACATTTTTTTTCAATTAATGGCATAATTAGACCAACGTTCAAACCACCAAAAGTCATGTTTGAAAATACAAATAATTCAAACTTTGTGTAAATATATTTAATAGTTTTATATTAAAAATTATTTTATTTTCAAATTTACATTTAAATTAATATTAAAAAAATTACAATTTTTATGTTAAGTTTAAAATTGTATAATAATTTTTATTATAAAATTATTTTAAAAATTAAAAATATAAATTATTTTACTCTAAATTCACTTTTAATTAAAATTAATTTTGCAAAATTAAATTTGATTCAAAAACATTTTTCCAAACACCTGATTACAGCCATCCTTCCTTTTTTTTTTTTCATTCACCATTTATTTCTCGTCATTCTCTCGTAACAAAGCCATCCTTCGTCCTTTTTTTTTTTCTTTAGATTCGTTCATCATTTCTTTTTCCATTCATCTCTCGTCATTCTCTCATAACACAAAATTTCCTTCTTTTCTCACAAGATAAATGTTTTTAATATATTTTTTAACATAGTTTGTTTACTATACTCTTAATTATTAACTAAAATTTATTGAAAATTAAAAAATATGATTATTAATTTAATGATTCATATTTCTTATTTAATTTTATTTATTTATATTTTTAATAAATTCTAATAAATAACTAGGACTATTTCAAAAAATTAATTCAATAAAGTTTGCTTACTTTAACTTTTATAAAATAATTTTTTTTATAATAATCAAGAGCGTATTGAAAAAATATATATTACTAAAACTCTTCTCTCCCACATATTCGTGACCCACCATGAAAACCACTAAATCCATGAGAGGAACCTCATCTATCTGCTATAACATCAACTCCTTTGATATCATGAACTCAACGAACCACGATGAAAGTTCTGAAAATCAAAATGTGACTTGGGCTTTGGTTAGGTTGTTTCGAGCTTATCTGTGTTTTGGGCTAGCATTGGGGTTTGATTCGACCGGGAAAGTTGGTAGGCTCAGCTATATAAATCACGTAGCGTTATTTAGTAACAAATCAATAACTATAATAATTAATGAGATAATCATATATAATGATTTAAATTGTGTTAATTTTTATTACTGAGTATGTGAATCAATTAGCATGAAATTGTTTTATTTTAACTTGAGTCTCACAAATGCAACTGTATTAAACTATTAGAAATACTTTAGATGAAAAAAAAAAACTATATTAATTTTTAATTTTTTTCTTATCATTATTGTTCATATATTGTTATTCTGTGATTTTTTTTATTATTTTATGTTATTCTTCTTCTTTATATAAAGTAATTTATTTGTACTTTAGTTTTTCTTGTATTTGTATGAGAAAAATAAAATTAATTCTGTCTCTTGAACAATAAATTTAAAATTATGTTAGTTCCTCCTTTATCGATTTGTTTAAATAAAATTTAAAAAAAGTTTTTTCAATATGTTTCATAGAAAAATAAAATATATATCATGCATGTGTGTTTATGTTGTGTCTTGTGCATATGAATTTTCTTATATTTGTCTTTTATTGTATTAAAAATATCTATTCACGTACTGTCATCATATTTTTAAGGAAAAATAAAAATAATTTATTCATTCAACAATTTTGTACTTATGATATATAAATTTTTAGTCCGTTCATGTATTATAAAACCCCAAGACTCCAAGAGTAAGAATGTAACTATTTTTCACGATATGCTAATACCTTTTGCCTACCAAATAGACTCTTGAATATGATCTGATTACCTACACTCTCATTTTTCATTTTGAAAGTTTCTAAATTCTTAAAACACATTTTGATGACAACTCATTTCTTTTTCTTCTTCTTTTTTTTTTATCGATTTTTCAATTCGCCGTCCCTCGTCGTGACGTTTGCAAAAGTCACCATCGTAATATCAGTATAAATGAAACGCATGAAATTGCATTTGTATATATCAATAATACAAATGAAAGTAAGAGCATGGTTAAAATTACCAAAACTAAACAAATATTGGAGTCTTGCACAACAATCATGGAGTTTCTGAATTGAAATTCCTTCCCTAGAAACTAATTTATTTGCACAAAAGAAAAAGGAGATATAATCAAAGTGGGCAACATCAAACAAATGATCCAAGAACAATACTCGTGAAGGGTATAGTCTAACACTTATGTGTTATTAAAACTTTCCTCTTTATCTTGCTCTTGCTCTAATCTAATTTTTCTTCCTCCAGGTGTTCCAATGAAAACGTATTTGACATGTGCAGGCATGTTCTTGACTTTTTTGGAGCCCTAGGCAAAATACTAAATGGGAGCCCTTTCAAAAAAAATTATATGACATAATACAACAAAATAAAAGCATAATTCTATTAAAATAATATGTTTTTTAAGTAAATAGAATTTTTTCTAATAAAATTACAAAAAAAAACAATCCATTCAAACAATTCTTATGTCATCATCAACTACAAAAATACAAAAAATTATAAAAAATGAGTTCTACGAATATTTTGAGATGTAAAATCATTAATAATAACATCCGTATCAATGTTTTTTAAAAATTCCTTCTCGATCGATAAAATTGCAAGACCGTTCAACCATTCTTGTGACATTGATGACCTCAAGTAGGTTTTGATTAACTTTAACTTTGAAAACTTCTTTCAGCTAATGCACAGTTACTGGAACTGTCAAAAAAATTCTATAAGCAATTGAAATATTTGGATAACAATTTACAGATTTGACAAACTAAAGAATTTTAGTAGCTGACATTAATTCATTTGGTAAAGTAAATTGTAACATTTTCAATTTTGAGTAAAAATCATTTAAATCAACATATGATGAATCACCATGAGAAAAAGTATAGTGAAAAATAGCACAACATTCTTTCAATTCCTTTTCATCCAATGACTTTAACTTGTTTGAATCAAACAGAAACTCAAAAATACTTTCAAAAGTTTTTAATTGCTCAAATCAGCTTTTCAAAGAAGTAATTGCTATGTCCACAACAACCAAAAAATATTCAACTCTAAATAATTCTTCAGCCGATTGAATTTCTTCATCCTCTTGATTATTTTTATCAAATTGTTTTTTCCTAATAACACGACGCTTTGTCAGAAGGGTAGGCTCTACATCCATACTAAGTGCAATACTTTTAGCAATATTCATACTAGAAGTATAGCCTTGATCTCTATATTTTTCAAAGTATGACAATATACCTTCTAATTGTTTTATAGTGGTGTCAATGCATATAGATTTAGATTGCAATTTCTTGCTCACCATATTTATAGTAAATAAAATTTTATGCCAAATAACCATACCAAGCAAAAACTT